CGACGACGCCCCGCGGGGGGCGCAGGTGGGCACGGCGCGGGCCTGGTCGGGCGGTGCAGAGTTGGGGTGTGGATACGTCGGGGGCGCCCCGGCGGGGAGGAGCGGGCAGGCCGGCACCCACGTCACACCGCAGTGACCCCCACGCCCCGCTCAGGACCCCAGCGGCCTCCCGCCAGAGGTGGCGCCTGAACCCGGAGAGCTCCTGGAGCGCCCCAGCCGCCCGCACACCCTGGAGCACGGCCGGACGGTGGACTCGGCCTGGAGCCCCGCGGTGCCCCGGCTCGCGCGCCCGGGGGGGCCCGGTGAGTCTGCGACCCAACCGGGAGGACGGCCCTGGGGGTTGGCCCCGTGCTGGCCGGGCTGGCGTCCAGGGTCCCTCCCCAGGCGGCACCGTCCGAGTCCGCGGGCAGGGCAGGTCACAGCGGGTGGTCCGAGCCCCCCTGTGCTGAAGGGGCCCTCCCCCGCGCGGCCGCCCCTCCCCGCAGAGCCCCAGTGTGCAGACGCGGGAAGCCCGAGGCCCAGCGCACAGGGGGCCGCTGCCCTGCCGGCCTCCGCTTGGGGAGGAGGCGCGCTCCCTCTGCGCACGGACGCAGGAGTCACCCCGAGGAGCCCGAGACGGTCCCAGCGCAGGAAGCGGGAGCAGAGCCCTGTTCCCCCAGAGCTGCCGGGGGGGGCCGCGGCCCCTGGCACCAATGGCCTCCGCAAGGGACAGCCCCTGTGCAGCCCTGCCCCGCCGCCAGGCTCGGGGCCCCCCATCCCGCCGGCGCTGTGGGCCCACGTGTGCGGAGACTGTCAGAGGCGGTTCCGGTGCAGGGCCCACCTGACGGCCCACCAGCGCTCCCACGCGGGCCCCCCACGCTCGGGCTCCGGGCCAAGCGCCCAGGGCCCCTCGGAGATGAAGGCGGCAGCCCAGAGTCCGCGCCTGCCCGGCTGGGAGGCGACCCCCAGGGACCTCACCGATCCGTGCCCCTTGGGTCGTCCCCAAAGGGCGCTCACGAGGGGGTCGGCGCCCCAGCTAGAGGGAACCCGCAGCCCCCCACCAGGCATCAAGCTGTACGTGTGCGAGGACTGTGGCCACGTGTTCCGGAAGCCATTTTCGCTGAAGCGCCACAAGCGGACTCACCTGCCGGCGGCCGCCCACAGCCCGCGCCAGGGCCCGGCTCCAGCCCCTCCGGGCCCGTGACCCCCTGCCGGCCCCCCACGGTGTCTGCCGGTTCCCAGCGGACCCAGGGCCCCGACCACGCCCCGCGCTTCAGAGGAGCCTCACTTCATGCCCCTGGAGTGATGGGGCGCCCTCTGGGGCGCAGGGGCGCCGCAGCACCCTGGAGCCGTCCCGGCCACTGCAGCAGGTGTTGGTCCCCGGCCAGGAGTGACCAGGGCGCAGCAGACGCCTCCTGTCCCCCGCTGCCCTTCAGCAGTGGGTCTCAGTGGACCTGCCTGTTCCGCTCCCCACTTTGTCTCTGGGGAGTCCTCTCACTTTCTCCCCCTCTGGGCTGCACCCCAGCTCTTGTTTCGATAAACACGCCTTTTGCAGCAACATGGATGGAGCTGGAAGGAATCTTGCTTGGCGAAATAAGCCAGGAAGAGAAGGGAAAATACCGATGGTGCTCCTAGCAGAGCAGGGAATGCCAGGCACAGCGGGGGTGGAGCGGGGACGGGGTCAACACGGTGGCGGTGGCGGGAGCGCCCGGGGGGCTTCGGTGATGGCGCGGGTGCTGGGGAGGTGGGCGTTAGAACTGGGGCAGGAAAGGGCACAAGACATGTAAACTCACCACCGCCCTAGGTAATATAATCGAAATAAATGAACAGAAGAGTCTTTAAAAACAAAAGGTGACAATCTGGCGCAGGCATTCCCCTCCCTCCGGCTCCCCAGCCTCCCACGCGGTGCCCCCCAGGGGCACCCCAGGAGCCCAGGCTGGCCTTCCCCCACCGGGTTCATACAGCTGGGGCGCCCCCTCCATGACTGCACCCCGACTCTGCGGGGCCCACTCACCCTCCCAGCGGTACCTGCTCCCCAGGGACTCGGGCTGTAGGGTCTCCAGTCACCGCGTGTCAGCCCCCCATTCCTTAGGCCAGGGGAGGGGCAGGCCTGGTGCATGCACCCCACCATTGCAGGCTGCGGGTGGAGGGCCGCGGCGAGGACCTGGGGGCGGGACTAGGTCCCTGGTGTGCTCTTTGAGATGGTGGGAATATGGTGGGTTTGATTCTGATGGGCGCCAGTGGAGACTGCAGGCAGCTGCTGGAGGCTGG